AACTCCTTGATTTTTAATTTTTTAAATGTAAATATTCCTCAGTTAGGTATTTTACCCCTCAATACCCACACATCATGCCCCATTTCCCTTCTTCCTGTCTCCTCTTCTACCACCATCTTTAATCAGCTAGGTATTGATATCTATGCAAACAACTGTTATCTCCCCAATACATGCTGTTTTTAGACAATATTGGCAAGGGAAAGACAACAGGTGATTAAAGCGTGTAACTAACTAATCAACAACATATGAGCAAACTCAAAATAGAAAGAATGCAAGGGAATATGACTTATACCTCTATTTTGATATGAAATGAATCATTACCAGTATTTTAATTTGGATAGAAGGTTTCACCAACAGTATGAATGACAAATATACAAAGTCATATATTTAACCAACATATTTAATTTACATATTTAAGGGAATATCAATAAGTAACTATATGCTAAATCTCGGTAGCAAGCTCACCTAAACTAAGGTAAAAATACTGAATAAAAATAAATTTCAGTTGAAAGAAGAATAGCATTGAAACAACAAAGGGATGTAAAATAGCTATCTGCATTAAATAATCAGTACAAGTTATTGTATAGGAGAAATAAGTGTTCACATGATAAATATAAATAGGCAATTTGGAAATTTTGTAACTTCATTAATGTCTCCACTCATGAACCTGCAGACCTACATAGAGATGCTTGCAAATCTTAAATGCATATCTCATTGTGACATGAAATGCAAAATAACAAAATAATAGTATTTAAAGACACAAGGAAAATGTGCTTCCTATGCAAACTAGTCATAGATATAAAAGCAACAAAACATACTGAGCCTCATATTTGGGAAAACCAAATATAACAAAGGTTGCTAGTTAAAGATATCTACTTCAATTGCGGGAATCCTGACATAATAGGAAAGGACTACTAGCTATGAAGGGTTTTTTTTATGCTTAGTAATCTATACATTCTAAAACTTAACACGGGTAATTAATATAAAACACAGGACTAGCACCAGCCTGCAGTTTGCCTCTCCCACCATGGAAGGTGTATAAAAAATCATGTACAGATGGTGACGTTCACGATGAGGAAATGATAACCTGCTCCTCAAGTGAACCTTTCACTGTCAACACCATTTGCTACCAAGCACCTACCATGGTGGCCTCAGCTTTGGCTATGGCTGTGGCCAGTGTAGATAAGAATGCTGTTGCCCATCTCGCTATGGCAGATACTGGCCGTATGGATTCCAGCTGAGGAACTTCTGTAGTCACTAAGCCAGTTGAACTCTTCTTCCTCTGCTTCCCCATCATTATTCTATAAGTAACTTATTTCTCTTTCAAAGCAGTGACAAGTCTATTCTGTGAAATTTCATCTTCATATTCAAAACTTCAGAGTCAGCATGCTTCAACTGCATTGATAAAGTCACATTTAATACCTCACCATTCATAAAAAATGTTTACATTATTCCTTCATCATTCATTGTACTTAACAACTTTGGGGGAAAGATTTTGTTTCTTTTTCAATATATTTGTTTATATTAAAAAGTGCTCTACATTTATCTATTTTGTCTGTCACTTATTTGCACATTTCTTTATAATATCTGTGTATTCCTAGTTAGAAACAGTTTTTTTTCAGAAACACATCTGTATATCTAGAGACTCTGGTTTTTTTTTAATGTTTTTATTCATTTATTCACATATACATACATTGTTTGGGCCATTTCTCCCTCCTGCCCCCCATCCCCTCCATTGCCTTCCCACCCCCCTCGCTTCCAGGCAGAACCTGTTCTGCTCTTATCTCTAATTTTGTTGACAAGAAAACATAAGCAATAATAAGAAAGACAAAGCGTTTTTGCTAGTTGAGATAAAGATAGCTATATAGAGAGATTCCTAGTATTGCTTCCATGTACAAATGTGTTACAACCCAAGTTGATTCATCGCTACCTGACCTTTTCACTAGTTCCTGATCCCATTTCCATATTGACCTCTGTTGCTTTAAGGTTTTTGTATTAGTTCCTCTTCAGTGGGGACATTAAACACTTTCATGTTTTGGGTTTCCTACCTATCCCCATACCTCCCGTATGTGCTCTCCCCTTAGCATGTGACCCAAGTCTAACCACATTGCTGTATTTGCCCTAGATCTAAAGACTGTATATGAGGGAGAACATATGCTTTTTGCTCTTCTAGATGGTCAAATGAGTAAGTCTGTTGATCTGAATTAAATGGTATTGAGTCCGATAATGGGAAAATGCCAATCACAAGTGGTACAAAGTGAAATGCTTGTCTCAGACATGTTCTGTCCATCACGCAACCCTCCTGTCAATCTCTAGTTTGTTTAATCTAAATAGATAACTTTTTTGATCAAATCTCCTTGAGATTAAACTAAATCAATGCATGTTACCCTGAGTCCTGACTAATACACCTATGTGCAGACTACTGAACATTATGCCCTTCACAGCTAGACCAGAACTTACTCAAGGCAATTTCTCATTGTGCTCCTTAAGTTTGATACTAATCCATCTTACTCCTTCCATGTGACTCAGAGCTAAGCAGTAAAATTCCTTAGCTATTCTTGGAGGAAATCCTCAACAAAGCCCTGTGCAACTCCTGGTTTAGGCTTTCTATGTGTACAAATATCTCTGCATCTCAACATGCAACTCTTCTCAACTAAAGAAGAGAAGGGAAAAAGTGATCCCTTGCCTCTACAGCAAACCCAGGAAGACCATAAGACAAAGAAAACTCTGGGAACGAGGCTGCATTGTGTTAGAAGGAGCCCAATTCTCAAATTGGAATGTCAATGTGATAGCATATGAGATGATAGTGACATTTATAGGATTGTGATACATGATGACATAAGTCAGATGGCAAAATTGGTAAAAGAAGAGAAAAAGGTGTGACTCACAGTGAAATATTCTTGTAGATGTTCTGAAATGTCAACTATTTGGGACTCTTAGTAAAGAAGACACAAGATTCTTTTAAATGCTCTGACATTTACCATGTTGAAATATTTCCTATAGCAAATGTTTTATAGGAAAAGACAAAGGTTAATATTAGTTCACCCATTTTGTCCAAACTGCTTACACAGAATGTTTTCATCTGACTTTGTGTCTCTCCTATCATCTCCATCTAGTTTGGCTGCATTCTTATCTCATATATTCAGGTTTATAGTGTTGCATTGCTTACAATAACAGCACTATTCCCATAGTCACAAGGTCTTAACAGCTTCTTTGTGAAGCTGTCCTCCTGTGTGATTGCATTCTGTTCCCTCCATCCCACATTCTTGTGACTGTCCTCTATACTTGATAGAAAGAGAGAAGAAAAATACTGCCAGGAGTTCTGTGCTGACTCTGTGGCTCTGTCATTTGTGTGGAAATGTCCTTTTGGAAAGAGCCCTTGTCATCAGCTCTGCCCATTCATTCATATTGGAAATGGTGGCATTAACAAGGCATTAGATCTTCTTTACTGTGAAATCCCTTTAGAACAATCTTTCCAAAAAAATCTGCCTTCCACTATTTCAACAATCTCTTTCTCTCAAGAGTAATTAGTTCTCATGAAAAATATTAAATAGATAATAATAATCACAGCACTATAATATTGCTAGACTCTAGTAAATAATAAATGAATAATGATTATAATAATAAACAAAATTAATATGTATTTTGAGTGAATTTTATTTTTTATAGTGATAACTCATTTGGCCTCTCTTTGACACTCAGTCATCATAACTGATATAAACCATCTTTGTAAACTTTAAACAAAATGCAAAAATTGAAATTTAAACCCAGGGCCAAATGCATCAACTCAAGGGCATGATGTGTTTGCTGCTTTGGTGATGAACTTCAGCTATTCAACACAGGAGGCATTTCACTCAGTTAAATCTTTGTTGCTCTTTTGTTCATTTAGCCTTTGACATTTAGCTCCATAAAGGAACAGCAAAGACTATCTCCATGACATCAAACATTTATTTAAGGACATCAAGAAGCATAGTTTCATCTAAGTGAGGACCTGCCTTCCAATCTTCTCAGATGACTTGGCAAAGGTCTCCCTTGCAAGTACTAACCAGACCTGATACTGCTTAGCTTCCAAGACAAGACGAGATCAGGTGTATTTGGAGTGGGATGTGCCATGTGTGGATGAAAGGTGTTTCATTTTTTTTAATCTGACTTAATTTTGTTATTATTTTTAAAAGTTGGCCAGACTGGTGTTTGAATTTAGGACTTCACTCTTTATAGGTACGTGCCTTTTTTGTTTTGTAGTTTACTTTTCTCATAGAGTCCTCATCTTGCCTAGAGAGACTCTTGGAATTCATCCCTCCTCCCTCAACTCCCGCACAGCTGTAGTTATAAACACTCACCTCAATATCCATCTTGACTATTTTCCTTTTTCTGATACCGGAATTTGAAGTCAGCACCTTGTAGTTGCTAAACAAGTGCCCTATCATTTGACTCACTCACCCTAAGCCCTCTCCCCCCTCTCCCCAAACTTTTTTTTTTCATTTCATTATTTCTTTTAATAGTCTTGCATTTTTACTTGGGGCTAGTCTCAAACCATGATCCTCTTACCTATGCCTCCTGCTTAACTTGATTGATGAGACAGAGAGAGAAAGAGAGAGAGAGATACCTTTAGTTTGTCCTGTGGAAAAATAGAAACAAAACAAAAATAAAAATGGATACATATTTTGATGATTTACTCATACACTATAATGAGGTCACATATATTGAATAAATATAGAATGGGCCAGAATCTTGAAAATAGAACAATGCATTCATTTTAAAGGTCTATAAATTAACGATGGAATCCTGACATAGAAAAAAATTATCTCAGGATAGCCTAGTTTTCAAAATAAAACAATGTTTTAATGATATTGTCTGAGACACATTAGTAAGATGCTTGATGCTGCAATGCTTGTGGTTTTCCACACCATCAAGGAAGTATAAAAAACACTTGTCACACAGTGACATCCAGACTCAAGAGACACCTCCTGGTCCTCAACTGCACACTCTAATACTACACCATGTGCTACTACAGCAACTGCTATGGTAGCCTGAGCTATGGCTGTGGCTATGGTTATGGCTACGGCTATGGTGGCTATGGTGGCTATGGTGGCTATGGTGGCTATGGTGGCTATGGTGGCTATGGTAGCTATGGTTACAGCTGCTACCGCCCACTGTGCTGTGAAAGATACTGGCCGTATGGCTTCTACTGAGGAATTTCCACAGTGGCTTAGCCTTTTGACTACAACCTTCTGCTGTACTGGAAGTAATTCCAAGTTTCTTCAAATGAGAAAATTTTAAATATCTTCAAAATGCTGCATACTGACTCATCATTTTCAACTGAATTGTGTTAGTTGAGAGAAAGATTTTGCATTATCTTTATAATACAATATATAATGTCAAATTGTGTAAAATGATAGGTACTATTAAATAAATTTATTTAATTGCAAACATTGGTTTATTATAGTTTTATTAAATTATTTCTATCATTTTGGCATCTTTGTGCTTTGTGTGTGATTTGTCATGTTATGTCTGTGGTTTTTTTGTTGGGGTGTTGAAAAAGAGACAGAGAGAGGAAGAGATAGTAGAGAGAGAGATGAGAGAGCGAGAGGAGAGAGAGAGAGAGAGATAAACTAAAGGTCTTTTGTGGACATTAGATATCTAAAATGAACACAAAGAAATATTTTTTAACATATTAAAATCTGGTTTTGTATGTGTCTTTTAAACTCTCCTACAATTTACCCTGCTTATGTTCCTCATAGCAAGTGTTTAAAATGGCTGCTTTCTGTCATGATTTGAAATTCAAGTTGTATTTCACATCAGAGCATTAAAATTTATACATATTGGAATGCTCTGTGTCTTTTGCAAGATGTTTGGATTACCTCAGCTACTCTTCTCGCTTTGTGATTTTTTAAATTAAAAATTAGCTTGCTTATAGAATAACCACAGGTTTTATCATATTGAAAAAGTCATCACTAATAATAATATTCTGTCTTACCAATAAAATAGTCCAGTGGTACATCAAATATACCAATTTATCTATTTAGAAAAAATGTATGCCAGTATAACAAGATAAATTTATCATGATCATGATATATTTGCTAAGTATTAAAATAGTATTAGGTTATTTTCTTTTTACCCAGAAGTCTGGTCTTTATCAAATGTATACATCCATGCATACTAAGTTTCTCTAGAATCAAAATGTTTCCATCATTTATGCAGTTATTTCACATGGGTAACTCAAGCTGACACAGGTAAATATAATTACATGCTGATAGAAAACATAGTGAATGAAGGGAACAGTATTATAAAGATGTAGATAATGTGAACAAGTGACTTGAAAGTCATGTGGTTCTTGATTCTAGGAGCCAGGCATGAGGATGCTGAGGGAAAGAGTAACCATCAGAATTTTGGGTGCTTTTTTCAGGGCAGCAAACCCCAATTAGAGGCTATGATGACATAATCTTACTGAGGATGTGGTGGGGGATATGCAGCTTATCACCAGGCCAGGTTTCTCCTTAAGATATTTTATAAATTCTGAAGTTTTGTGGGTCAGTTACATAAGAAATCAAGCGGAATAACTTGAAAATTAGATAGAAATTTCATCCGTATAAAATTAATGAACAAACAGAGACCAAGATGTAGCCCCTACAAGTTTGGTCAAAAAAGGTTGACAAATTCTTGCCAAAACATGAGCTTTATTTTGTGTCAGTTATTGCTTGTATTAGGATAATGAAAAATTTAAAAAGAAGACAATACTTCTCATCTAACTAATGCAACCTGCAATACTGGATTTTCTGAAGTAGTTCAATATTATTCTCTACTTTATGCTTCCTTTCATTTACTACAGGAACAAGAAATTATGTTTCTCAGGGTCTTTTTCTAGAAGCATTTAAAGATAAAGTATTCCAATGACTGGCTCTTGGCCAAAATTGAGCAAGATTGCTTAAAGCAAGAGAAAGCCATGTTATCAGATAGCACGGAAGGGATTATGTATTCCTTTTAGAATATGTGAGTTTCATTAGAGATATTGATTACATTCCTGAGGATGACCTGTGGTTTACAAAAATTCCTGACTCACTGAGACATTAGTGTAACTCTGAGCAGTAGGGAAAACATTTTACTCCAGAAGGTGTACTGATTGATTAAGCTCCCGTCTCTCTCAACTGAAACTTCTCTTATACAAATCCCTTCATGTTTTGTTTTTTAATTCACATTACCATTTGACTCACTTAGTATTTTCTTTCTTTCTTTCTTTCTTTTCTTTTTTTGTGGTACTGGGGCTTGAACTCAGGGCCTACACCTTGAGTCATTCCACCAGCCCTTTTTTGTAAAGTGTTTTTCGAGATAGGGTCTCACGAACTATTAGCCCAGGCTGGCTTCAAACCATGATCTTTCTGATCTCTGCCCCCGAGTAGCTAGGATTACAGGCATGAGCCACCGGTGCCCGGCAAACTTAGAATTTTCTTGATATGCACACAATATTAGTAAGGAGATGTAGTTCATCATATTATCTGCAAATCATTCCCCATATTTTAATTATACAGCAATGCTCTTTTATAAGTGTTTCACTAAATAGTTGTCAATGAAAATATATCTTAAAAATTAATTATAATTCTTTTGTCAAAAAGCAGAGGGATTATATCATTAATACACTTGCACTTAAAGAATATTTTTGTATTTTTTATGCAGAAAGACTTTGATTTCAGGTGGAAGATACAAATAAATTTAAAGTGGGAGGAGCAAGGCATGAATGAATAATTCTGTTTATATGAGAAAATACAAACAAATATTGTGTATATAAAATATTACATCATCATTATCATCTCCATAGGATATAAAATATATGCAGATTCCTTATGCTTGAAATAATATATAAAGTATACAAGGGTGTATAATTTTAGTAAATGCACTTTAAGATTTTAGTACTATATAAATAGTAAAATGCTAAGTTATGTTAAAATGCAGTAAGAAGAAAGCATATTTTATTGTCTAGTGAACCAGTAGAAGAATAATAAAAGAACAGATGATTTTCAGGTAAAGAGAGGAAAATGGAATATAAAGTACTACATTAATTTAATCAAGCCAAGAAAAAAGGGAAAATGGAAAATGCTATCAAGACAAACATAAAATAAATAAAGGAATGGTAGATCAAAACCCAAATATGTCAATAATGTAAAGTAAATATTTCCATTAAAATACAGGTAATACAAGGCTAGGAGAAAGTAAAGTTCTAACTACACAGTGCTTCAAATAGACAAATTTATATCATGTAATGGTATAAACTTATGTAAACAAACTTATATCATGTAAAGTCAGAAATGGAAAATGATATGCTGCAAACATAAGGTAAAGAAAAGCAGTGTAGTTATGTTAGACATGTATCAGACATGGTAAACTTTAGGTCAATATAATTAGAAATAAAGAATAAAGATTGTAACCACATACAGGGTCCAGTCCATCAGGAAAAACTAAGAAATGTTTATTCAACATGATTTAAATAACATGCTATAATATAGTAAGCAAAATGGGTTGCTAAAATTATAATCGGATAAAATAAAACACCATCTTAATAACAGGAAGGAGCTAACAAAAATAAAAACATTCAAGAAAGCAGAAAACCCAAACAATGCAATCAATAATCTTGATCAAAGGATGAAAATAACTAAACCCAACATCAGAAAATATATTTGAAAAAAGTACATGGTGCAGTTATATTAAAATTGATCACAACCTGAGATACATAAAAGCCCCAAAATATTTCAAAGGACTTGAGCAGCTTTGGGTTGCTTATCAAATAAAATTAATTATACAGCTGGCAAAAAAATAATAAGACAACAATAAAAGTTTCAACTTAAGTGATAGGTTTTAGGATAAAGAAAAAGCAAAACAAAATTTCCAAATATTTTAAGATTAAGTGGTACAGAAAACATAGTATATTCAAAACTCATAGAATAGAAAAAAAAATGCTTGTAAAGAAAGATAAAGATTTTACTTGACATATGGTCTATTCTTTGTATGTACAGTAGCTACCCTCATGTTAACCAGTTTTGAATTGAAAATCTTCAGGATAAAAATTGGATCTGTATGGAATATGTACAGATATGTTTTCCTTGTCACTGCTCCCCATACAACACAGCATCGCAACTTTTTACCTAGTATTTACACTGTATTAAGTAAAGTAATCTAGAAGTGATTTAATGTCTACGGAAGGTTGTGCATTGATTATATGCAATACTCAGAACTTTACTAAGGAATATGAGCATTGGTGGAGTTTTGTGTCCACAGGGTTCCTGGAACTAATCTCTCATGGATATAGAGGGACAACTCTATCAGAACAAAAAAAGAAAAGTGATGTCAAGTGCTGTAAGGGGAAAGGATTATCTTTTTGGTAAACAGTGTTGTGTTGATTAGTCATGAATATAGATAAAAAAAATCCTTGTTCATTGTACCACATAAAAGTCCTTTTAAATGGACTATATACATGATTATACTGGCTAAACTAATACAAGTTTTAGAAAAATATATTAACAACAATTGAACAGCCAACAATGTTTTAAACAAAATATATAACACTCTAACAATAGAGAAAAATGATAAATTGGCTTACATTTAAATAAAAACTTATTTGTAGGCCAGGAGCAGTGATTCTTGTCTGTAATTCCAGGCACTCAAGAGATTTTTTTCATTTTCTATTTCCATATATGAGTATATTGTACCCTTTTAAAACTGCTATTTCTTTGAATAATTCTATAGGGGTCCATGAAGACAGATTTTTTTTTATTAAAATATTAGCAGAGGGGAAACAATACTGTATTTCACTATAGAGTTTTGTCATCATTTGTAGGAGATTAGAAATGTCTGACTGAGCCTGGTGGGGTGGCACTTGCCTATCCACAACAGCATGTTCACCTGGGTGCCTCAAGTCGACACCATTATATACAATGAAATGCATAGAAAACATACTGAATGAAGGGAACAGTATTCTGAAGATGGAGATAGTGTTAAAAAGTGTTGAATCCAACAACTCTGGTTACAATTCTGGATAACTTACCCCAAGAGTTTTAAGCCAAACTGGGCAACCTAGTAAGGAACTCACCTAAAAGTCTGATTTCCTTAATTTAAACAAGAACTAACACAAAAAGAAGCTCCCAGCATTTTGGCAAGAATTTGTTAACATCTTTTTATCCATGTTGTAGGGGCTACACCTTTGTCTCTGTCAGTTAGTAGTGCTTAGCAGGCCCTGAAGTCCAGTGATTATTTTCTCATCATTTTAATACGGATGAAATATTCATCTAATTTTCAAATTGTTCTGCTTGATTTTGTATGAAGCTGACCCACGAATACCTTGAGGAGAAACCTGACTCTGTGATAAGGTCCGTATCCTCCCACCACATCCTTGACAAGATTACATCACCTGTGTCTCCAATTGTGGCTTGCTGCCCTGAAAAAGGAAGCACCCCAGATTCTGATGGTTGCTCTTTCCCCCAGCATCCTCATGCCTGGCTCCTAGAATCAGAACCACACAAATTTCAAGTCACTTTTTCACACTATCTCCATCTTCACAATACTGCTGCCTTCATTCTATGTTTTCTATGCATTTTATTGTATTTAACGGTGTTGGCTCGAGGCACCCAGGTGAATATAACTACTTCAATGTTGGAGAAAATTTGATTCTAGAAAAAATTAGTGTACATGGATGCTTACATTTGATAAACACCAGACTTCTGGGTAAAAAGAAAATAACCTAATGCTAATTTGATAGTTAGCAAATATATCGTGATTTTGATCAAGCTACATTTTTTTAATAAATAGATAAACTGGTATATTTGAAGTACCACTGGACTTGCTATATTGCTAAACCAGAATATTACTATTAGTGATGATATTTTCAATATGATAAAGCTGATAGTTATTCTGTAGGTAATCTATTTTTAAGTCAAAAAATCACAAAGTCAGAAGGGAAGCTAATGTAATCAAAATATATTGCAAAGACAGAAAGTATTTCTGTATGCAAAACTAAGTGCTCTAAAGTAAAATACAACTTGTATTTTTCATGGTAGAAAGTAGCCATTTTAAACTTACTCTGAAGAGTATAAGCAATGGTAAATGTTAGAAGAGATTAAAAGACACATACAAAAACAGATTTTTAATCTGTTAAAAATATTTTTCCTATTCATTTTAGATATCTAATGGCCACAAAAGACATTTGCTGCTGTGTTCTCTCTCTCTCTGTCTCTCTCTTTTTCTCTCCCTCTCTCTCTCTCTCCTTTCCCTGTCTTTTTTCAGCACCACAACAATCACACACATAATATGACAAATCCACACACACAAATTTGCTAAAATGGTGGAAATAATTTAGTAACAGTGAAATAAAGTATTTGCAATTAAATACAGTTTATTTAATATCACCTATCATTGTACCACATTTGATCACATTTTACATAGCATTATAAAGTTAATGCAAAAAAACTCTTTTACAAATGAACACACAATCCATTTGAAATGATCAGTCAAAATGGGCATGCTGAATCCTGTTTCTTTTGTTTTAGTTCAGTATGTAGTATTTTTGAAGACATTTAATTTTTTTTCATGTGAAGGAACTTGGAGTTACTTCCAGTAAAACAAGAGGTAATAGCCAAAAGGCTAAGCCACTGTGGAAATTCCTCAGTAGAAGCCACAGGACCAGTATCTTCCACAGCACAGTGGGCGGTAGCAGCCATAACCACAGCCACCATAGCCACAGCCAAAGCCACAACCAGAACCGTGGCTATAGCCACAGCCATAGCCTAGGCCACCGTAGTAGTTGCCATAGTAGCACATGGTGTAGGGAGTGGAGTGTTCAGTTGAGGACCAGCAGGTGAGTTTCTTGAGTCTGATGTCGCTGTGTGCCAAGTGCCTTTTACACACCCTCGGTGGTGGGTGGAAAACCACAGGCATTGCAGCATCAAGCATCTCACTAACCTGCCTCAGGCAACATAATGGATATCTGGATTTATTGGAGAAACAAGGCTGTCATAACTGAGATAATTTTGTTTCTATGTCAGGATTCCATGATCAATTTACAGGCCTTTAAAACAAATGCCTTCTTCTATTTTCAAGGCTCTGGAACATTCTATATTTAGTTTATTCAATACATGTGCCCTCATTACAGTGTATGAGTAAATCATCAAAGTAGGTAACCCATTTTTATTTTTGTTTTCTTTGTTCCTATTCATCTACCAGGAAAAAAGTAAAGATTTCTCTCTCTCTCTCTCTCTCTCTCTCTCTCTCTCTCTCTCTCTCTCTCTCTCTCTCTCTCTCGGGCTATGACGGTGGATGGTACAGATATGGCTGCTGTCGCCCATCTTGCTGTGGCAGGTACTGGTCCCATGGATTCTACTGAGGAACTTCTGGAGCCACTCAGCCAATTGAACTCTTCTTCCTATACTTTCACAATGTCTTTCCATGATACTTCTTATAGGTAACCTTTACCTCTTTCCCAATAGTGAGTTTTATTCTTGGCTATTTCATCTTCTGATTGAATACTTCAGATTTAGAAGGCTTCAACTTGATTGACTGAAATTACATATAATACTTTAGCATTCAAAAAGTTGCTTAGAGTTAATGTTGTATTACTTTTTCATTCATTGATTGTAACTTAAAAGATACTATGTAAAAATGTTAAAGTCTCTTTTTCAGTAAGTTTTGTCTATCATTACAAAGCACTTTTCATGTGTATTGATTTTTTTCTCTGTCATTTATATGAGGAAGCTGAGGGGGCATATATTTTATTTAGGAGCATTTTAGAAGCAACAAAGTTCTTTACTGAAAAGCTTCCACCTGTCTGGAGCATCTGGCTGATCAGATGAAAGTATAAGTGTTATTGCCTCCTGGTTAAGTGAGGCATCCCCAATCCACAGGTTCCACTTACACAGGTAAGATACAGGCTCAAACATGTTTCATCCAGTCCAACCATTCTTAGTTGCTCCAAGAAAAGTAAAAATACATGATTTATTTAAATCACTATATTTGAGGAAAGCTTCCTTGTTAAAACAAGTTTAGTGAAGAAAATTAATTTTAGAACCTGCCAAAACACTGATATAAATTATCTGTTGTACATATAAAATACTTATAAAATAGATTACTTTAGGGATACTCTGTACATACCCTCTTCATAGCAAGGATTTTTTTCATTCATTTTCTCACCCTATTCTTCATATTTCTACCGACATATTTTCACTTCACCTGACTCCATGCAGCACAGTAACATCAAAAATATTACATTTGACCTTAAAGAAAGTTTTGAGCAAGCCATCTTTAACTGTTAGCTTAGACTTGCCATGAATGCAAATATCTGCATCTGGGAAAAAAGCACCTCTGCAATCATCAAAGTTAGAAAGATGAAAACTGGTTCCATGTTTCTGCTGCTAAGGCACAATGTATGCATAAGCCCAGGCAACTGTAAAAGAAAAAGTGACCACCAAAATGAGTCACAATTCTGTATGGAGGAGCCTTATTCCAAAATTCTGTTTGGAGGAGCCCTATTCCAAAAATCTGATGGCAAAGTGACAACTTTACTGTATCCACAGCAGGAAGTGTGACATTACAGGACTGAGATAGATGAATATGTCAGGTGTTAAGAGATGACATGAGGCAGTGCTGGTATAGGAGAGAAAAAAATAGCAAGAGATGACAGAAAAATATAGATGAACAGAATGTTAACAATTGGGTAATTTGAGTAAAGAGGACACTGAAAATTTTTACTAGTCTTATATTTTTCTCTCTAAAATACTTTAACACAATTACACCAAACTTTCAGAAAAATAAAATACAGTAGATAATATCTAGTGGCCATTCTTTCTATATTGCTCATACAAAATCTCTTCATGTGACTTTTTGCCAGTCTTTTACCTATATTTATCTAAGTTTTCATCCCCATATAATAAGGTTTTCAATTACATATCACCTATGAAAACAGAAGTATTCCATATACTGTACTTACTGTTTGTAATTTCCTGACACCACTGTGCTCTGGCATGACTGTCATTTGCATCTTCTGCTCACATTCTTTTGATTGTTCTACTACACATCAAGAAAAAATAAAAGACAAGGAAACCTGTCATGGCTTATGTTTGCTGACTCTGGCTCTGCCTGTCAATTATGTAAGAAAAAAGTCTATAGCAAAGAGCCTTGTCATCATCTCCACTCACAAGGATTAGGACTTCCAATCTACAACACTGGTTCTTATAGTATTTTTGGTTCCAAGTTTTCCTTAGAAGTCACAATACTTTTTTCTTACTGATTCTACCTCTCCTTATTCCTCCAATCACAAAAGAAACAATGGACAAATGGAATTTCATATGAGGAAATACCATTTAGGTAACAGACAAGAAGAAAACTCAAGTAAAGAAAATAAGTCTTTCTTTTTAAAATTCATGAAAGTAATCATCTTGCCTACATGTTTGCACTGGTGAATTCTTTAAAACACATAAGGAAAACAGCATTACTAATTATACCAATAATCTTCTACAGAATAGAAAAAGGGCAAAATATATGAATAAAATCAAAATAACAAGGACATTACAAGAAAGTGAATAGATTTTATAAAAATCTGAAACAGCGTATTAAGAAACTGAGCCTCAGGAGTTATATTGTAAATTAGCAAAATCCCAGATTGGTTTAATATCTGGAAATTCAGTCAGTGAAATTCAGAACATTAACAAAAAGGAAAGTTATATGACTATTTCCATATATTAAAATGAAACATGGGGAAATAAATACGCATTTTCCAATTTTAATATGTAACCATTGTACATATTAATAATTTTTTAATGGATACATGCATTTTGAATTAATAAAATCAAGGTAATTAGCATTTCTCCCTTGTCATTTCTTTTTGTTTGGAAGCTTCAGGCTTCTTTCTTTTAGGTCTCCATAAAATATTATCATACTTTATTCTAAACTATTATCACCCCACTGTGCTGTTCAACTCCAGAACTTATTCTTCTAATGCTATTTTATTATCCATTATCTAACCTACTTCTATTCCCCCTCCTGCACTGTTCTCAGTCTCTAGTAATCACTATTCTATATTCAGATTGACTCTTTTCATTTCCATGTACAAGAAAGGAAACATGCAGTATTTATCTAAGTGTGACTTATTTCACTCAACCTAATGTCTTCAAGTTCCATTCATCTTGTTACAAATAGTAGCATTTCATTCTTACCTTGGATGAGTAATATTCTGCTGTGAATACTTACAATGCTTTTTAATCCAGTATCTGCCACTGAGTACCTAGGTTGATTCCATGTCTTAGCTATTATAAACAATGCAAGTAAAATGAGAATGCAGTTATATTTCCTATAGTTCTAACTTCATTTCTTTTGTATATTTACCCAGTAAGAGGTAGTTGGACTGTGTGGAAGATACATTTTTAGTTTTTTTAAGAACTTCCATCTCATTCACCATAATGATGACACTAATTTATGTTCCCAAATTTATATAAATATTTATATTTATGTACCATTATACTAGTAACCATACAGTAGGAATAAGATGATTCCTCAATATGGTTTTGATTTGCAATTCTCTGGTGACTAATGATATTGAGCATTATTTTTCATATATTTGTTGAGTACTTTTATTTTTCCTATTTTTAAGAAATGCTTAATGGGTAACTTACCCATTTTTTATTGGATTACTCATTGTTCTGTGTTTATGATCTTTACATTCCTTATATATTCTGGATGTGACTCCTTTGTCAGAAGAACAGTTTGCACATTTTCTCCATTCTGTAGATATCTTCACTGTGTTTCTTACTTTGCATAGTTTTATAAAATATGTTTTATCATAGTTTGATAAAATTCCAATTGTCTATTTATTCTTTTATTTTTTCCTCTTGGGGTCACTTATGAATGTATTTGAAAATCAATAAAATGGCATTAGAGAATACATTCCTCAATTCAGTAAGTGACATCTGTATAAAATCTAAAGCTTGCATATCATACTTATGCTGAAGGTAAGGAACACTCTGAGTACAGAAACAAGATAAGGATGATGACTCACACAATTTTTACACTTTGTACTGTTAGTCAATGAATACACAATGAAATAAGTGGAAAAGATGGATGGATGGATAGATGATAGATAGGTAGATAGACAGATAAGTAGATAGCACATATACCAGAAAATTCAGACATTATTTCAAAGTTACATAATGTGTGTAGATAAGACAGATAGTCCAGGCTTGCACACTTAGACTGATAGAAAGAAGAGACATTGCATAAAAAATATTCAGATATATGGTAATTGGATTTATACTGCTAAGGTACCAATGCAGTGCAGAAGGTGAAAAGATTGACTTAATAATAATTATTGTTAATTTGATAATTGTAAAGGAGAAAATGAAACCTATTCATATCTTGCACCAAAATAAGATGCAAGAATATCTTTATTAATTTGAAGTGGATAATATTTCTTAAACAGGATACAAAGAGCAAAGAAAATACTAACAAATTAAATTTTCTCAGAATTAAGGGTGTCCATTTTGTAGGGTCTAGATATGCAACTCTTGGGAAGAAGATATTTTGAATACATATTTTTAAGAAGTTTGTAGCAAAAATAAATAAATGCATCTATAAGTTGTTAGAAAAAGAAACAAAACACAAATTGAAAATGGCTAGGAACATGAAAAAGGATTTTATAACAAATGAAAACAAAAAGTAATCAACCTCATTAAAGCAAGAGGATGCAAATTACAAACACAATGAAATAGCACCGAGTGCCCATAAGAGTGGCTAAAATTAGAGACTGAATACCAAGGAATTTTGAGAAGGATCAG